AGGCCATGGACAAATATCGATTGGTACAAGAGCACATCAAAGGCGATGAAAGTGATAGCAACGACAACCAGACTAATAGCAACACAAAAAGCAATAGCACAAGCGGTAGTAACAACGATAGCAACAGCAACAGMAACACCAGTAGTGATAGTGACAAGAAGAATTTAACCATGAGCTGCGAAGTGAGAATAACACAGCAGGGTAAACCAAGGAATTATATTTCATACGCCATGAAGTTATTTGTAAGTCATTCGTAATGGCTATTGATGGAATCCCCAGTTACTTSATGTGATCCATCTGCATTATTTACAGAGYAGGAACACTGATTTTTACTCGGTTCCGATTCGACTCAAGCCCACCGCACTCGCGTCGTTGCGTCGTTCTCATACGTTCATACTTTTCCGTTCCATTTTTTCCATGGGACAACACCCGTATAATCCCTGTGGTACCTACCGGAAATCAAAAATACAATCCAACGTAATACACTGCCACCACCGACCGAACATATRCGTTGAAAGGCAGACAACTCGGACAAGATTGTCCTGAAGGCCATGGGACGAGCCATCAACAAGGCCGTCACGATTGCAGAGATTCTCAAACGGAAGATGCCCCTCCACCAGTGCAACAGCCTGAGCASTGTAGAAATGATTGACATATTTGAACCGCTCGAAGAAGGATTGGACAGGGTCACCTCTCGGCGATATGGTAAGTWRCTGTTGTATGCGCTYTACTTTACTTTCTGGAATTGCAARACATTCTTTTCGAAAGAAAATGAAACGAAATAAAYGCCATCCGAKTATTCGGTCGGACGGATGTGGTTACAGAAAGAAGAGTAATTCCTGTTTTTGTATGCCCAACACMTCAAATCCAACATTAGACTCAACACARCTCTCCCGTCCTGTATTTTCGTTGCCCATTAGTCTCCTGCATGCAAATAACTCTYTCCCGAACGCTGGAAGGCATAGATACCAACCATATTGGGTATCAACCTCCTTTGCCCCTCGAAGAAATGAATCCCGGGGATTTTCATCCGATGAGAGACACGGCGCTTGTTGCGTCATCGTAGAAGTATCGCGTCGTCGATGGGCCGTGGGTGCGATTCGCTATGGGGCGGGATTAATCCGGTTGTGCCGGTGGTATTGGGAATGGATAGCACCGTTGTCTTTCAATAGTCGCTGCGGTCCAAGTTGTACGAATATTCGGGACACGAAGCTGACAGCAGCTCGTACCTGACGCAACTTTAACCGCACCCGAAGCAATGTACAAGTCCATGGAATGCCCAAAAGAACCACAAAGTCAAAGCAAAGGAGCTGATCATATGGAGGAATTGTACTTGCGAATCAGAGTACTCTAGCACCGTTTTAGGTTGCGCGTACAGACTTCAAGGAACCGAGGTCGATGCTTGCTTTGTTGCCTTTATCTGGCTGCGACGTGTGAAATTTAGTTTCCGGAACGCTTCAACCGAACGATGGTAAAAACAAATGCTCTTACCATCCAACACCCATAACATTCATAATTATCTGAACAGCTACTACTACTACAGTATTTTGATATTGTTGTCGATGTGCTACAAAACAAAACGGGATGAAAAATGAATTTTTTAGAAATTTTCTGTTGATTTTTCCAAACCCACAACAGTTTGGTACCGTACCGCATGCACGTACGTCGTACATCGACTTGCGAAAGGACTGTCCCATACCTACACACGATTGAAAACCGACAGTTCCGCCGTAACCATTGATAACCACGAAAAATGAAACGAGCGAAAACTAAATTTCAAATTTAGAAGCAAACCSGCATCAGAAAATCGAACTATTTGGTACAACACTCATTGCTAGAGCATCACGTGACATACGGAGCATTTGCTGGTTGGATCGTCGTTGGTTCTTTCATTCGTTCGCGTTGCCCCATGACGCCTGGTTTAACTCGTCGTTGGGTTGTGATTGGATTCCACTAGAGCTTGTCTTACAGGAGAAGCGAAACAGCCTTTTTTTTATCCCCCAACCCATAAGTGAAGTTATAAGCTGTAACTACTGCAATATCCGAAGGGATGACCGGGCTACACGACAAGGAAGACGACGAATGCGTTCGCCGTCGGGGATACAAACGACCCTTGGAAACCGACATCGGCGTCAGYAGCGGTTCCAATAGCATAAGCGAACAAAAATCGAAGTCGAACGGGATCACACACTTAAAAGACAACGGCGGCGACAACAACGGCAACAACAACGATAACAACTACAATGACGATAACATCTCACCGAAACAAGATGYATTGTACGGAGACACACACACAGYTTCTTCGCTGGGAAAGGGGGACAAGGATTTTGTGCCAGCAACAAGCTCGAATACGGACTTGCCCACACCCGACGAAAGCAGCGCAAGCTACGATCGATTGTTGCCCAAAGGGATKGAGTTGAAATGGAACSCCGAGCAGACGAGGGCCGTATTGCACGTTTTGGAAGATGCGGTAGTGGCGAACACAGAGGGAAACAACCACATCAGGGAGTTTCGTGTGTGCCTCGTGGGCAGGGCCCGGGTCAGCGTCCTGGAGGGATCGGCGGAAATCTTGGGGCACGCCATGACCKCACAACTCAAAGACCGAGGCGAATCCGAAAGCGAATCGGAACGCGAAACGAGTGAGGAGAGAACRCCGACYGGGATAGTCGCCACGAGTCCCTTTTGGTCCAGCTGGACGACGATCATCGCCGAGCGCCGCGATCTGCCCTGCCGCATTGCTCTGGAGTGCATCCGGGGTCCACAGAGCTTTAGGGTGATGCCTCCCAGTCGCCCAGTTGTGATCCCGTCCACTTGGAAAGCCTGTGTCGACGAGATATGCAGTAGCATAGGTAGTGGTAGTGGTAGTGGCAGCTATGRATGCGAACGCAAACACCACAATGGTAACCATGRTTCATCCATAGAGGATTGCCACATCGGAGATCCATATTTTCACCAAAACAGCATCAGCAACATCAACCACAACGATACTCATCGACGGGTGTGCATGATCACCGGTGCGAAAGGTGTCGGGAAGTCAACCCTTCTACGATACACGACCAACCGTTTGTTGTCCTCGTTGGCCAACGACGTTCATGGACACTACCACCGAGCCATCGCAATCCTCGATACGGATGTTGGACAGCCCGAATTGGCGCCACCGGGGCTCTTGAGGCTGGCCATCGTGCGCAAGCCCTTGTTGTGGCCACCCTATTGGAACCTGGTATCAGGAGGAGGTAGCAATGATGCGGCACATGATTGGCAGCAAGGAACGAGCAGCTGCTATGGTCCCCAGYCACAACCTCCCAAACAAGTCCACTGTGACGATGAAAGCGACTACGACAGCGAGGACAACGACGACGACGAAAACAGTGGAGGATTTCAAGTGCTTTCCTCGGTGTTTTTCGGTGCCACTTCGTCCAAAGCCGACCCAGCGCGATTCATCAAGGGTGTTAGGCATTTGATAGAAAAATACGAAACTGAGATTCTTCCATTAAATATTCCTCTATTGGTCAACACGGATGGATGGGTCAAGGGAATGGGGTACCAAATCCTGACGACGCTGATCGATCATCTCCGGCCAACGCACTTGGTACAGATYCTCGGAGAAACCAAGGGACATGCCTTCGATCTTTCACATACGGTTGCCCATGCGGTGGTAGACGAGTGCGATTCATCGTCGTTGCCACCACCAAAACTGTATCAACTGCCTGCATGCCAGAGCCTACCTGGTGCTTCTCTATGCAAGATTCCTGCGGTGACGATGAGAAACTTTCGCTGGGCGACCTACTTTTTGCCACGCCAGCTACAGACCTTTGATGCCTGGGATTTTGCTTCGGCTCGATTGTTACAAACCGGATGGGTGCTCGCTGCCAACTCGGACCGCACGACCACGGTTCCGAGTTGGTGGTCATCTTTGCCGTCGTTGCTGGCACAAAACGACGGCAGCCACGGTGATGATASCATTGGATACACAAACGACGAAGCAGGAAACTCAAACACAAGTACCGAACCGTCGAACGACCACGGAGCGTTGGCCGACGAATGCCGTTTAGCTCGTGCCTTGGCCAGAGAACGTCCGTATTGTGTTCCAATGGAATCCGTCGACGCCTTCATAATTGGTTCAGATTACGAAGACTTCTTGAACACAACATCGGATAGTAACACCAATTATACCGAGGAGTCCTTCGCGGAGCAGCACATGCAGACAAACCATCGGATCTTCCAGGCGTTGAACGGCAGAATTGTGGCGTTGTGTACTGATAAATCGAGCATGGAATCGCTCGGTTACGGCATCCTCCGATCCATCGATTGGGACAAGCGCTTGTTGTACGTCTTGGTGCCACCTTCGATCCCGCCTTTCTCTTTACATCAGGTCAAGGCCCTTGTGGGAGGTCACTTACCACTTCCGCTCGCCATGCTGTACCGTGGAGCATATGGAGAATCCTTTCCTTATTTAACCAACACCCTTTCACAAGAGGGTGTTCTCGGATCCGAACCAATGAAAAGCAGGAACAACATTGCCCGTAAAGGCTTGACGAACGCAGGCAAGGTTGCTACCTAACTAAAACTGACAATGATCGTTCCCAGTATGTACCAACCGACTTGGATGCGATTTWWWAAAAAAMAATACTGCTATGGTTTATGGGAACTATTTATACCGAGGTAATGATTCACGAAATCGCTTGCTTTACCCGTGTCGACTTTCATTGGGCACTACTTCATCGTCTAATGGGATTGCAATATCGGGAACCGTAATAAACAACAAGGTACCAACGAGAGGGACGACAGATAGCGTTTGTGCAAATGACCTATTGCATCTCGTCGTTTCCGAAGCATGAGAACGATTTCGCGAAACGCAMCAGTCGTCTGTTCTTTCGTTTACGGCATTCTCAGCAAATGTCACGCCAAACGATACCACGGCAAAATTTACCAACACTCCGACCACCAGGTACCACGCGTTGGACTCCACCAAAGCRTCGACGGTAAAGCAAACCAGTTCCGCGTTCGGCTCATCGGGGAACAATTTTTGTGCCWCTGTGTCGATTTGGTCGCACTTATTTCCGATGATGAATGAAGTTAATATTGATATTTGATACAATACCGCTAACATCGTCAACAGGAAAACTTCTATCGCTGACCAGCTCCTCGCAATTCTGGTAGCCAACAGAAAGTGCTGTTGCCACTTCAATGTCAAAGGTAGAAGCATTAGACATATTAGCAATACCAAACACAGGATGGGTGTGACGACTGTGAACAACAAGAATGCAAATTGTAGAAACATAATGCTAAMGCTGCGAGAATTCTCGACACTCGACGGYAATGCAAATCCAAGCGATAGAACGGAATAGCTCGTCCTGCGCATGTCTTCMCCCAACACAATCCCGGCCAWGCCCCCAATCTCAAAAGTAAAACTATGTTGCAAAAATCCCCAGCTTAGCATAGCAATTGTTGAAAACATGGCCAGCAAAAGCAGCGCTTGGGCAAATCKAGACAATCGTTTCGAATTGCTCCCGCCGTCGGCTTGTCGTAATTTGAATGCATGATTTACAAGCGATCTTTTGGAACAATCAAAACCAATGGAATTGCCGCCCCGCATTGTCTTGCCGTGRAAAATAAGTGTTGCGTGRCCCAAGAYCAAAGAGAGGCATGTAGCAACAAGGAAAGAGAAGAAACCGTATGYCATGGAAACGTKGACGTCAACGCCRAGACCGTCGCCGAACTCAGAGTGGAACCGAAATACAACGAGAAGTAAGATCAACACATAYGTGTGAACAAGAGAGAATCGCCCAATGGAATCCATGGTCAGTAGGTTCTTTTCTCGTCGGTGTTGATCCAAACTKGGTGTCATCCAAGCATTGAGCATTAAAAAGAGCTTCGTCAAGGGGAGGAAAAGAATTTGAGGTGCACGTACTCTGCAAATGGAGGAGCAATTCAGGCTCGTCACGACAGCAAAAAACTCACCCTGGCGTACGGCAATATTCCGCTAAAGCCAAGCACCAAACCCAGCAGCGGATAAACACCCGCAAAATACAATTCCGACAGAGTGCTGCCGAGACCGAATCGAAACAGACCCGRAAAATCCATCGCGTGCAACCCGACCCGCACGGATAGATCCACGGACGCCCCGGCAGAGGCGTTGCTCGAGACCAAGAGAACCGCCGTGCCGATGATCGCGGCCGGAACCAAGGATTTGATGGCTTCGGGAATTTGGTCCGAGTCGAAAATCGATGTCTTTGGATCCTCTGGATTGCGGGCTTCGTCGACGAGTTGGTCTTCCAGAATGCCCTGGGAGATCTCTTCCTCGTTCCATTCCTCGCAAATGTCCCTTATGATAAAGTCATCGATGGAGTTGTTTCGCTCCTCCTTTGCTTCTATTGGATCGGTCATGAGTTCTTGATACGACGAAAGCAGCGGTAGGTGATGAGATGCAGCAGCTTCGTCGTGTGAGCCATCTGCTTCGCGCAACACCCCRCGGCTGCGGCCGTCTTCCCCMTGGGTGCGAGCAACGAAGAACAGCAAGCCCAGCTGCGCCACGGAAACCACCAGGCCCAGGCCAATCCACCAGGTCTTTCTGTTTCCGCTGTCGTCCCGGCTGCCGGTGTCCACCGGAGACCCCCCGGCGCAYTCGTGGATCGAAACCCCGATCCATCTCTCGATCGCGTGGTTTGCCGCGGTTCGAAAGAAYTCTAGGAACCACGCAGATGTTTCGCTGCCAATCTCCGCGAACCCCGGATAATCGTTCGTCGACAGCGAAAGGTTTCTTCCGTCTGCCAAAGCAACCGTCAGGTTCGCTCCCAGGTACCCRCCGAGGTTTGTGGTTCCCGGCAAGATTCTGGCTTGCACGGCCGGCAGGAGGGAGCAACCGATATCTTCCAGCACACGAGAGACCGTCAGGTTCYCCAATCGATCGAGGTCGTAGTCTAGGTTTATCTCGGCATTTGTTTCCAGGCTTCCAAACAGRGTCAGGTTGAGCTTGCCCAGAGGCGAGTTGTCCCCGTCACCCGCGTACGCGTCGAACACAAGGGTGGCCTCCGGGAGACTCTTGGGTGCCGGCTCGGCGGGCCCATCGATCGGCYCGGCCGAAAAATCCGTTTCCCCCGGGGGGATCCGGCCAAAGACGAGCGAGGACTCCAAGCGGTTCTCGGCCGAGGGTTTCAGCAGCTGCAGCTTGAAGAGGGAATCCCAGTTCTTGAGCACCAGTTTTGGAAACCCGAGGACGAACGCCTCGGACGCACCGCCGCCGGCAGCGTGGTCGTTGGCCAGTTGCCGGGGAACACCGCTCCGGAAACCGACCGCGACACCGGCAGAACGAGAACGAGCACGAGCACGAGCCACCCCCTGGAGGTGGGCCTTTTCCCCGTGYTCGCCGTTGAAGCCGGCCTCGGCGGCCTCCGCGAGGCACGAGAGGAACCCGTTCAGGAATTKCCTGGTGTGCGGGCGTTCCAGCCACCGGTTGAACCCGTACAGTGCCTCGAGCCGGGTGAGATCGGCCCAGCGGCCGGTTCCCGCCACCGGGCCACCCCCGCCGTGTTCCCCCGGAAGGCATTCCTCGGTTCCGGCCGAGCGGCCGGGCGAGTGGCGCTGGATCCAGTCCCGGACCAGGGCGTTCAGGGCGTCCGCTGCGGGCCCGCGCAGCAGCCCCCGTGCCAGCTGCGTCCACAGCGGTTGGTAGTCCTCCACCAGGAGCTCCAGCACGGTGTTGAGGGCGCGGTCCAGGCCGGCCCCCAGCGCATGCGAAGGCGGCGTCGATTCGGGGCCGCGCGACAGGCGGACCGAGTCGAGTACCACGCTTCGGATCCACCACAGCGGCTCGGACGCCTCGGTGTGGTTGGTGTTGGTGTTGCTGTTGGTGTTGCTGTGGCTGTTGCTGTCGTCCCCGCGCCGGGCCACGACCTTTACGGCGTCCAGGGTCCCCACCAGGCAGGCCAGGTCGGAGGGGTCCCCCGTCTCCGAATAGCGCTCCAGGGCAACGACGACMGAGAGGAGGCTCGTCGATTCCCAGTCCACGACCCTTGCGAGGCTCGCGAGCGACGTCTCGATGCGCGTAAGGTTGACGGCCAGCACGAAGGATTCCAACARGACGGGAGGGGCCGRGAGATCGGGGCCGGTTGGTGGYGGAAGGTGGATCTCCAGTTCCACCGGCAGCACCACGAAAAATCCCCGGGTCGTCTTGCATCTTGTGTGGAGCAAGGCACCGGTGAAGGAGTCGCCTGCGGCCAACCCTTGTGGAAGGGACGGATCCAGGATGCCCAGGGCGTCCATCCGGTCCAGCCCCTCCAGGGCCATCTCGGAAAGGTTCAGGACGGCTTTCCCGCCGGCGAAGGGAAGGACGACGCGACGGAAGAACGGCGGGAGGCGAAACTCCGGCCTGGGCCCCAGCAGAGAGCCGATCCATCCGCTGATCCCCCGAAAGGCGTCGGCGCACCCGCTCGGGGGCTCGGTTCCCCGATCGTTCGTCCAGGGGATCCACCCGGTTTGCAGGTGTTCCGAGAGCTGCTTGTTGGCAGAGGCCAGCGCCCCCCGGACCACCGGATAGTCCGCGACACCGTGGGACGCGGAGGAYGYGTTGGCGGCCCGTGGTTCCGCGGCGACAAAGCCTCCACCGMRGTTCCCGCCGYSGTWCYCGCCGTCGTCCAGGTAGGGCCGGRCCCAGTCGTCCCAGCGGCGCAGGGCCGACACCAGAACGGGATCGACCGAGGCCTCCAGGAGGGGGCAGGCCCTCTCCCCCAGCGCACCMGTGACGAAGCGGGCGATCGGCCCGGCAAAGGCCCGTACCAGCCTTGCGCTCGCGGAGCCGGAGAAGTCGACGGACGAGCACTCCAGCTCCGCGCGGCAGGAGTCCGTCCGAAAGCCGGCCGGGAGACAGGGGGCGGGCCTTCTTCCGWRGGTCTCMCTCCGGCCCTCCAGGGCAAAGACGGCCTCCAGGGCGGGGGAGGACCTTCCGCCGGGCCCCTTTTCCCGTATTGTGGCCCGCAGGTCTCCCTCCAGGCCCCCCGTGGCACGGTAGCGCCCCTTGCAGGTGACCGAGATCCCCCGCACCGAGGCCCCCAGGAAGGAGACCCTCTCTGCCGGTGCGGGTGCGGGGGGGATGGGCCCGTGGGTTGGTTGTGGTTGTGAAGTTGAATGTGGTTGTGGTTGTGGTTGTGGTTGTGGTTGTGGTTGTGGTTGTGCCCGGCTGTGTGCCCGGCAATCGGTCTGGCAATCGGTCTGGTCCCGCGTCCGTGGTGGTGTTTGCGGTGGTGCCCGCGCGTGGGCACGGGCACGGGCACGGGTGGGTCCGGAAGGCGGCAGGCGTTCCAGGTCCAGCCCCGACACCCGGACGTTGGTGCAGACCACGTCGTGGAYCGCAACGGTGATCCAGTCCTTCTGGAAGGCCTGGTCGGGAACGGGGATTTCCAGGTTCCAGAGAAAGCACTCCAGCCGGTCGTGGATTTGGTCCCCGGCGTCTGCGTGGCCTTGCTCCCCGGACGCGGTGCAGTTGGGCGGGGGAGCGGGGGGAGGGCCGGTGGAAGAAGCAAAACCAGAAGCAAAACCAGAAGCAGAAGAATAAGCACCGGAATCGAGGTCGGAATCGAGGTCGGGATAGGCCCACGGGCTCGTGGCCGTGGTTGCCGTTGTTACTGTTACTGCTGCTGCTCTCGTTGCCGTCGCTGCTCTTCCGTGGCAGAGACCGAGAACGACGACGACGAGGACCACCGGGAGCCCGGGGAAGAGGAGGGTCGATGGAAGGGACCGGCGGCGCCGGGGGCGGCAAACACGTCCCTCTCTCGGCACCAGTCTCCCTCCTTTCCCTCGCTTCCTTCCCGGCGGGCACCCGCTCGGATCCATGCCGTCCCGTCCCGTGGTGCGATGCGATGTGCCGTGATGTGCCGTTATGTGCCGTGATGCGATGCGATGCGATGCGATGTGCCGTGCTTTGCCTCTGCCTCTGCTTCTCCTCTGCGTTCGTCCCGCAATGGGAGCCTTGCGATGCGATGCGATGCGATGCGATGCGGGGAGTGGAGTGGTCTCGCGCCGAACAAGAACAACGACGGGCAATGGTGGTGGTCGACACCGTCGCCGTCCCGAAACCAAAAAAAGAAAAAAGAACAATACGATGCGGTACTTGTACCCTACCCTACCTTTTCACTAGCAACCGCAACCGCAAGGGTGTCGATCGTGCGACGCGATGCGATGCCAGAACGGTAGCCGTACTCCGTACTACTTTGCGTACGTACTGGTGCAACGAACACCTACGGTACCGTACCTTACGTACCGGTACHGTTGTAGCGTCCGATTGTTCCATAGAAAAACGCTTCACCGAGGACCCTACCGACCCCTTCCTACCGGTACGTACGTACCGGTACGTACCTAGATTSCCGAAAAACAAAACGAGACGAAACGAACCTGCTGACGGTACGTAGCTACGGTACCATCAGTACATAGGTACTAGTACTACTAGTAATAGCTGCCACTAGTAAAACTAACTACGTGCTAGTTGCTGGTACTGTAGTAAAATCGTTCTGCCCGATGCGAAAAAGAACCCGTGTTGTTGCTCTTTGTGGGTTTCTTATTTTTGTTCCTGTTCGTGCTCGTTTTGTGAACGCCGTCCTCGTCCTCGCCGTCGCCGTTGTGGTTCTCGTGGCTGCTCGCCCACACCAGACGACGAAATGCGGCGAGCCCGCAGCTGTTCTTCCCGGAGGCCGAGAGCCTGCACGCGGGCGCCCTTTTGGTGTCCGCCGGAGCAACGATTCTTCTCGCTGCCACGGATCGCTCTCGGTCCCAAGCAATGCAACGCAACACAACGCAACACAACGCAACACAACGCAACGCATTGCATTGCATTGCATCCCATTGCATTGCATCGCAACCAAAGGCAACACAACACAAAACCATCGTCCTTCGAAGGCACGCAACAACTGTCGCCGCGGGCCCCCGCCAGCAACAACTCGGTCGTGTGTGTCGCTGTTGAGACGTGTCCCGCGTGCCCTTGTTTTCGGATGGGACATGTCCAGAAAATAGGAATTGGCATACGGATAGGACAAGTCCGGATAGAAACTGTAGGGATATGATGTAGGGACTGCTTCGAATGGAGACGCTGGTGGAACAAAACTGGGCTTCTCYGATAGCACTCCCTTTCATGGAATATAAGATTGTGTCCCTGAATGCACCTCTTGCTATACCATAAATGGTGTCCTGCTTGGTACATTTGATGGATTACCAGAGACAAAATCACATGAATTCTAATATGGATAAATGGGTGGCAGTTCTGATCTTTGATCCAACTCTTTGCAATACCAAAGACCTCTGAAGGTTTCA